TTTATTTTGAAAGTGGTGTGTAAGTCTATTTGTAAGTCCAATAAATATACATTGTTTTAATGAAATTTGTTTAAAAAAGAAATTAATAGTAATCCAAATAACATATTGATAAATTGATACAAACATTGTCAGATTTGACATAATTAAAATCTATTATTTTTTTAATTGGCACAAATATGCAAACCTTTACTTTTCTTAAATCAACATAAAATGAAATAAACGATCCATATATATATATATATAAAGTATTGAATAATATTGAAGATTTATATTAAATTTAAAAAGAAGATCAAATAATCTGTTTGAAAGGAATGAAAAACTAATTTCGAATGAATAGAAAAAAAAGAGGGAACATCGAAACAACTAACTCACTATACAAAGCATCATTAAATACGATCAATTTATGGATGAAAATGATAGAATTCGTTAAAATGGTTCCTGCGAAAATAGAATTACCAGCGAATTCAACGAATGGAAATAAAAAAGAAAAGAAAAAATAAAGAGAGAGAGAGAGAGAAGAGGTATGAGGGTTGCATACAATGGTTGGCTGGGATGAATCGTAAAAAAAAGGGGTAAACGATATTCAAAGGATCGTAAGAGATCGGGTATGAAAAAATAATGCCGATAAAATGCTTGCGAATATGAACAACTGCTTTTTATTACTACCCCTTAGTAATAAAAAATATATATAGGTACTTTATATAATATACACACACATATCTATATATATACGAGACTATAGGGTAAAGTTATTCGAAATAAATAAAGAAAAAAATAAAGAAAAAAATAAAGAGGAGAGAATAAAAAATAAAATAAGAATTAATTCAAAGTAAATCATGTTTTGCAAAAGTTTACGATTTTCCCAACATATCATAATATTAAAATATATATTATAATTAAAGTACACTCTTTTGTCTACGCGTAGAATACAATATCGAGTTATAAATTTAGCATGTAAACTTCAAAATATGTCAGAGAATGCAATGCTGTAAATTGTGCATCTTTGCAATTTTTTTGAAAAGTTTTTGTATATATTTTTTATACTAAAAGTGAATAAATTATAATAAAACTTATATTAAATTAAAGTGCACTTTTTTATCTACACGTAGAATACAAWWTYGAGTTATAAATSAATCTGSAAAGGTTCATAAAATGGCAAAGAATGCACTGCTGTAATTTGTGCATCTTTGCAATTTCTTTGAAAAGTTTCGGCAAATATTTTTTATACTTTTTGCAAATAGATTTTAATGAAACTTATATTAAATTAAAGTGCACTTTTTTATCTACAGGTAGAATACAATATCGAGTTATAAATCAATCTGGAAAGGTTCATAAATTGGCAAAGAATGCACTGCTGTAAGTTGTGCATCTTTGCAATTTCTTTGAAAAGATTACAGCATTGGATTACACAGTGATATAAGTCCATTTGCAGCTTATAATTATACATTATTTTAGTTAAATTATCCTAAAAATAATGTATTTAATCAAATTACATATTAATAATTTAATATAATAAATGAATATTTTTAAATAAACTAATATGCAAATCTTGAATTTTTTCGATAGAACAGAAAATGGACTTACACCATTTTCTAAATAAACGATCCATATATCTGTATGTAAGTATGTGTACATATATATAGTTAAGTTGTGATCCGTACGTGTTGTATACCTCGGGTACAATATATATACGTCTTTTCCAAGTGAAACGAGGATATTATTGGTGCGACAAGCACTAGGAACATAAACTCATGCCATGCATAACGTGCGAACAACGTTCCTCCATCAACGCTTATTCTGCTTTTCCACTGTCACCACAAATACCTTTACTTTGCCATTTGTAATACTAACGTTCGCGGTAAATTTATTTTTTCCTTTTTGTTTTTTAATATTCTCTTTCCCTTTTTTACTAACATTCTCCGTTTCTTTCTATTTTTTTTTATTAATAACGGATTTGAACGATCGTTAAACAATGTAACACCGACCAATAGTAAATTTATTGAAAATTTCGTGATAACGTTTACCTTTTATAAACCGGAAAGAATAAAAACCAAAAAATAAAATAAAAATATAAAATAAAATAATTCAAATATATATATATATATATATAATTTTCACAGGTTGAATTCGACGACAGAGAAACGTGCATGAGTGGTTTCGATTATTTAGAGAGAGAGAGAGAGAGAGAATATGTTTCGATATTGTCGTTTGAATTTACGTTATAAATAATAACGATATAAAACAAAAACGCGAATGGGTAAACGTTAACATTTGGAAACACGTGTAAGGTTCGATTGGATATTTACTCCGTTTGATCACTGCGATTCAACGAACAAGTTACTATAAGTACAAATCAAACATCAATTGTGAGATAAATAACGATATTACATATACACGTGTGTGTGTGTGTGTGTGTGTGTGTGTGTGAAAATGAGAGAATAAGAAAAATGTATATGAAGAATAAAAATCATTCCAAAAGAAAACGATAGAAATATTTTAATAGTTCGATTATACATTGTTTAATTAAATGAAAAATAATCAAAATAAATTATGATGAAATATATCTAATCAAATAATTACTTGAATTATATAAAATAATTAAAAAATTGATCAACCAAACGATTTAATTAAAGTGCATCAAATGAAACAAACATTTATTGCGAATTTATATTCAATATTATACTAATACAAATATCAAATCAATTTACAATTCATGTTAATATATCACGTATAAAACATATAAAAGAATAATTCTAACTAATAATAGATTATATATTCTTCTATTAATAAACCAAAAAGAAGAAAAAAAATATCCAACAAAAGTTAAGTTAAGTTAAAAAATAGAAGAAAATAATTTGGAACAAATAAATCGTCCCGATCAGAAATACAAATTCTATTTTCTTTTGTTATTTCAATGAATTTAGTTTTCTATCTGTTGATAGTTGTTTGCCAACCAAGTTCAGATCACGTGCAAATTCGATTTAGTTTTGTCCAATCCGTTTTTCGGTTAAGAAAAAATAAAGTGCGAAGAGAAGTGAGTGAAAGGGTTAGTTGAAAAGAGAAAGATAAACCCAAAAAGGGGGTTTCATTGTACGTGACTCAGAGAAAGCAAGAGAGAGAGAGAGAGATAGATAGACAGATAGACATAGAGGTGGTTCAAACTCGAGATGTTTGGATTGGTCACAGAGGATTCCTGAATTCCCATCATTACATTCGACCAAACCGCGAGTGACCACGTTCAGGAGTGGCTTTCCATGGTCCCAAACCATTCAGGAATCCTTTAGTACATCACCGAGTAACTCAACTTACAACACATGCTTTCTGGAATTTCTCTAACGTGATATATTCTGCCAATAAACAATTTAATAGGAATGTTAATTCCGTTTAAATTGAAATTACAATGAAATTAACGTTTTAAATTAAAGTTGTAGAGAAACATTTAAAAGGGATTGGGAATGATAAGAAAAAAATTAAGGGACAATATTTGATTAGAGAAATAAGGGATGATTGATTTTCTATTTAAGTGATACACTAATGATAATAATAATAATAATAATTGTTGAAATTTTTTTTGTAATTATTTGAAATGGTCAATGTGTGTTTTATTCAATTTCACGAATTTTTCGTAAATCACGTGTCGTAAAATATATCGAATTAAACGATTGTTTTGTTATGAATAATTTGTTTGTTTGTTTTGATTGTTTTGATTGATTTGGTATTTTATAACAGGTGAGATATATGATTTAATATTAATGAATTATTCATCAGTGTGTTTTTGTAATATATAAGAGGAAAAGTGAATATATATGTAAATATAATTTACATATATATATTTTATTATTATTATTATTAATGAAAGAAAGGTAGTGTTTTATTTTATGAAGAAATTTGTCAACGTGCATTAATAATGTGAGATCATTTTAAAATGTACCAGTGTCGAATAATTCGATTGTTATTGTTGGACGATAAAAAAAAAATAATCTGTCAGATTACGTGTGAGATTTTCGTGATAGGGTGGAATAATTATTATTGTTATTTCACGTTTAACATATATTTACATAATTAATACTATTATTACAAGTATATTTATTAGAATAAATAGTACTATGTAAATATGTTACACACGTGATGCATTTATACACACATAACATGCAAAGTAAATGTGTTTTTTATTTTATTTATTTTCTATGAGAAAAAAAAAGAAAAACATAATAATAAAAAATCACAAAGTGGTAGTTTAAATCATACGTGTATTGAAATATTTTATTAAAAAAAAAAAAAAAAAAAAAAAAAACTAAACAAAAAGAAAAATTTTCAGATCAATTTTTAATTTCTTTTGGAAAATTTGATTGTTTTATTCGTCATTGAAATGTTTTATTTTTTATTAATATCGTTTTACGTGAATCACACATACAATATAGAAAATAATAATATTGTGTTCGTTCATTGTAAATATATATATAAAATTATTAATGTAGCAATGATTAATATAATAACTAACACGTTTAACGTGTAAAATTTGTTAGATAGGTTCAGGAACGTAGAATGCGCCTAATGTGGGATTAAGTTCGTCCTGAATTTAAGCGGATTCCGGGAACCGTCTCTAATTAGCCAGTCTCTCTTTCGTGAATATTAGTAATCCGTGAATTATCTCATGTAAAATTTGTCCCAGATAGCATAAATAATAATTTGTAAAACCCCCCTGAATCGTTTATTCATTAAAACGTGTTGATTTTATATAATATATCATTTGTCAAATAATATTTATGATAAAAACGTATTTTCAACAACAACAACAATAATAATAAAAATAAATGTTATATAACACATACGTTTTGTAATAACAATTAATTATTATTTATTTCTTTCTTTTTTTTTTTCTATAAATATCTTTTTCAAATAATTTTATTCAAATGACACAAAACCCATTGGTTATGGTACAAGAATATATTTAATCGTAAATAAATAATATAATAACAAAAAAAAATAATAATCGATACGTGATTTGTTGATAAATATCATGTGTTATAATAATTATTTTAAATTATAAATTAAATAATTGTAATAATATATATATATATGTGATATATCTATGATCGTTGTATTATGTATATGTATAGATGTAAATTGGTTTAATTGGTATAATGATTGATTTCTCGTATCAACAAATGTTACGTTAATGTGTGTCTATGTATTAGGAGTAAATCCATCTAAAACAGATTGCTAAGCAATTCTATTGTTTGAATTGTGACAACGTTAAAGCACACACATGACTCAGAAGTAAATTTATTCGTAAATTTGGTATTACAATTCACGAATAATTGCAAATTAATTTCTACTAAAATAATTGAGAATACGTTTTAAATATATATCTTGTAAAAAATTACAACGTCAACGTTATTTTTTTTTCTTTTTAAAAAATTATAACAACATCAATTAGTATTCTCGTTTCTTTTGTTTTCTTTTTTTGTTGTAATACAAATTTTGATATTACATCGATTTATCAAATGATCAAATTTATTTAATAAACAAGAAAAAAAAACACACACACACACACACATATTAAATTCTTTACGTTCCTATCTTTGTTCCAAAATTAGTCGAACATTTTTTTTTTGTTGATTTCGAAACAAATTGTTCGCGAAAGAAAAGAAAAAAAATTTATAATAAAAAAATGAAATAATTTCCCGCCGCGGTAATTCGCATAAAAAAAAAAATGAAGAAAAAAAAAACTTTCCACGGATTAACTGAAAATTAGATGCCGCAATTTTTTTTCTCGCCCCCCTGCCCTGCCCCCCTCCTCCTCCTCCTTTCTCTCTCTCTTTCCTTTTTTCTTTTTCTTTTTTTTTTT